GGACGAGATATCCAACTTGGAAGACACATTCCATTACCTGTCGGAACAACGAAAACGGCAACGTAATCGCGCCAAACGACCGCCTCCCCTCGACACGTTGATGGGAAGCAGCAAAAAAGCCCCCGTTGCCGAACTGCGCTAGGGGTAGTTGCCAGAGACAATAATGTAGAGCAAAGAAGTGACGAATGACAACTAGAGGACATTCAACACGTTCCGGACCGTGTGACACACACGATGTGCCATGAATTTTTCTTTGCGGGGTTCCATAGTCTATCGGGCATCTATTTACAAGCTTCAGAGTTATCACCCTTTTGGACATGACATATATCTCATACGAAAGTAAAAAAGGATGAAATTATCATCATCGATCTAAAAAAAGGACGGAATAATGCGGGAATCCTCGAAGAACCTTAGACCGCTTTGTGTTAAACCACGATCGGGTGAGGAGAGACTTTGCCAAACCTGAGGAACAAGGAGCCCCGGCTTGGGTGACTCAGCTATTTTGAGTGAAAGTGGTTTTGCAACTAGTACAAAGTATTTTACCAAAACATTCCACCTACTTGATTAGCGCCCACATAGATTTCATCCCCAAGCCAAACTTTGATAGTGGTCACCGAAGTAACCTAATAATGTTAGTATTTCCAAAGAATAGCACTCACCAGCGCTTTGTGATCGCTGAACAAACTAGCAAGCTCAAGCGGAATCTCCGGTTCGATTAGTATATCCTTTCCAGCGTACACCACCAGCACACGCGCCTACGATGAAATCTCAGTATTTCTTTCTCATGGTGGTTATTTGAACGACACTATAGCGATTTCTTACATTTTCGCATTGATTGATACTATCAATGTGTGCTCGCAGAACCTTCCCATATTCCAGTGAAGCCATCGTCCGGACACATAGCATTGCTCTTTCTCCTGTGTCTAATCGTAGGCCAATGATATTGTTGTAAACTGGAATGAGCCGGCCTTAAATTGCATGACAAACGAGGAAGGGCGCTGTTTGACTTGGGAGGGGCATTTTGCACTTTCGCTAGTTCATTTTGTTGATTCCTGTTAAAATACAAGTCACACCTTGGTGAGACCTGTAGACCCTTGTAAAAAGTGGACGAAACACCTGCGATTCCGTTGCTTTACAAGAATACACAAATCTCTACAGGATACATTAACAGCGCAGAATAGTAATCAGCACAACCCCCCCCTACAAGCCGAATTGCCCGAGAACCACTTCGACCTGGTCGGTTCCCATCTATCGTCAACGATTTTTCAGAAAAAAAAAAGCCACAGAAATAAATCAGCAGCTGCAACAGGTTCTTTGACCAGCTGGAACTCTTTCTATATAAAGAGAAGCGAAAAATCTCCCATCATTGATTTTCTACCACGCTGTTAGCAAGGAAGAAGATCACTAAAACAGAACACAAAATTTGTAGAAGAAAACTCACAATATTTAATTAAGGGATGCATAATTTTCCTAGCTATTGGTCCCAGTGAATACAACCATAGCACAAAGTTGATCACACAGAAAGGGCGTTGAGCTCGATGTCGACGAAGTCCCGTAGGATTAACAAGCACCAGACCGGCCAATGAGTTCTGAGAAATGCCATTGAAAACAAAAAAGAATGAAATTTGGTCTTTTTTTATTTAATGTCTTCAGCAGGATGCTGAACCCTTAGCACAACCTTTCAGTTTGCACAAGCAAAAACTCAAAGATTGTGCCTAAGGTCGCGCGAAATGGTACCATAATGCCCATCCCGACATGTTCGGATTGGGGGGGGGCGAGGAAGGGAGGAGGAGAGTAGCTTTTGCTAGTTGCTATCGTTTGTTCCTGTCAAGCAACAGCAAGTGGTAACACGTACGGCGATATGTGTAAACACTGCGACTGCGAAGCCGCGATTTGGTGCAACAATTCACAAGTATCCCCAACGTGGGCCTGCAAAAACGTAGCTGAGTACGACATGGTGCCTCCCAAGCTGAACTGCTCCCCAATTCCTTTGCTCCATGTTAACTACACTCGTACTGTTAATTACACCTCTGCAATACAGTTGATACAAGAGCCGCATTGTGAGAAGCACTGGACCTTATGCCGGTGAAGCTAGCGCAGCGTTCAGACTTTGCGATGACGCGCTACTATTGCAACAGCGCTCCATACTTCTAGACGCGAACGCAGCCGCAGACGGGAATCGATCGTGTCGACCGCTTGTGTTTTGAGAATGTACAGAAGAACCAGAGAGTGGTTCCGCTCGCCTTCACACTGGCCCACCTCTATTAGGTTGTCCGGAAAGTTCTCAGCGTTTTGTGCACCTATTTTTTGTACATTCACTGCTGATTAAAAACTCATTCTGCCTTGCTTCTCAGTAGCACATCCTGTAGAGAATTTCTTGCGCTATCTGATGGTATAATTGCCGTTTCACCATTGCTTGATAAACCCCCTTTTTTCAAGATTTTTTCAAGCATGTGAAAAGAGCACTTCGGACGATTTTTTTCTTCGACTATAAATTGGGGCAATCCGCAATCGAAACAGCTCAACAAATTAACCAGGTGTGGGGGCCCAATAGTGCTAGAGAAAGCACTGTGCGGCAATGGCTCAACAAATTTCGTTCTGGAGATTTCAGCCTTGAAGATGAACCTCATAGCGGTCGACCTAAAGCAATATCTGACGAGGATTTTAGGGGGATTTTGGAGGCTGACCCATCCCAAACAGTTCGAGAGATAGCAGAAGAGCTAGGCCTTGGCAAATCCACTGTTGCAGATGGTCTGGAACGCATTGGGAAGGTGAAAAAACTCGACAATTGGGTGCCCCACAATCGGAGTGACCGGCAGGAATCGGCACGTCTCGAGGTTCCTTCTGCATTGCTTTTGCGCAGCAGAAACGACCTGTTTTTGGCCGAATTGTCACCTGTGATGAAAAATGGGTCATGTATGATAACAGGAGACGTTCCGGACAGTGGTTGGATTTCGACGAACCACCGAGGTAATTTTCAAAGCCGAACCCTCACGAAAAAAAGATTCTGGTCACGGCTTGGTGGTCATCGGCTGGTGTGATCCACTATAACTTTTTATCACCAGGCCAAACCATCACAGCAGAACCCTACTGTGAAGGAATCGACGAAATGTACCGAAAATTTTGTCAGCTGCAGCCAACACTTATCAAAAGAAAGGGTCCGATTCCTTTGCATGACAACGCCCGCCCACACGTTTCACAAATCACTATCCATAAATTGAACGAATTGGGGGTTGAAGTTCTACCTCAACCGCCATATTCTTCAGACCTTTCGCCAACCGACTATCACCTTTTCTAACATTTTCAGAACTCCCTTGCTGGAAAATACTTCATCAATCAGGACCAGGCAAAAAAGCCTTAGTGGATTTCGTGAATTTTCGACCACCCAGTTTTTTACTTTGATGGGATTTCTCGACTGCTGTCACATTGGCAAAAGTGTGCTGATTCGAATGGTGCCTATTTCGATTAAATCCGATGAGTATTAAAAAAGTTACGATCGTTTAAAGTGAAACACCCAAAACGCTGAGAACTTTCCGGACAACCTAATACATTGTCTCTCGGAGGGTTCATAGGATTCGCTACAAAGAGTCAGCAAGCTAAAAATGTCCCAACAAGCGTTTTTTTTTGGTATTTCACCCGTGCAATTGTTTGTGTCTAGAGGGGTCATATTAAAAATGTTTCCGACGTTCTCCTTGGCATTTTTTCCTCACGAAAGGATCACTCCACCACTTCCCTTCCACATTTCACCGTTAACACCTATGCTCATTATCGCGTACCGTGCCTTTAGCAGTTTAGTGATGAGAATAAAAAAGCAAATAGGCTAGCAGCTATAGTTATCAGATTCCTGAAGAAGTTCTGTAAGTAAATCAACTAAGTGCAAAGTTTTGCAACACACATGCGACGGCTTGAAGAGACATCCCATGGGCGGCTGTTTGGCGACACGGGGGGGAGGGGGCATTCGTGCACCTGCACTGCTCCACTAGTTCCTTTACAAGTCTCACTCTAGTGAAACCTGTAAACTCTTGTGAAGCTGGAGCAAGCTCGTCGAGCCACCATGATAAAACCTGTCAACTCTTGTAAGCTCATGAAATAGCTCTCTACAGCTGGACACGTCGATGGGAAGCAGCAAAAGTGAAAATTGCTCCCATCGCATCGTGAGCTCAGGTGCACTCACTGAGGCGGTGTTCAGACTTCGATGACGTGCGCAATTACAGCGCGTCGACGCACGTCAACGCCAAGTGGGAGCGCTGGCTGTGGTTGAGCCACACTCGGCTGCTCACAAGGATGTTTTTTCGGGTCATGGAGCGCTTACTCGAAAGGGTTCGTTGCATGCTGTAGAGGAAAAAAACTGTCCATAGACCTCAGGAACGAAATTCATTTTTTTTTGCTGTAGTGGGAATGCCAAAGCGAAGGTGAACAATAGCTCAATGGGGGTTCAAACCCCCATTGAGGCAAAATTTTGTGCATTATGACGATGATTGAGCCTTTTGTTTATACAAGAACATGTGCACCCGGATTTTTTTTGTCTGGAGTGAGAGTTACGCCTGACATTGAAGAACAGCCAAATTCACGACTTCCTTGCTCTCGCTTCCATTATTTTCCATGATCCAACTCTAGCGGCGCAGTTTGTCGACGGGGGGGGGGGGCATTCTGCTTTCCATAGATGTGCCGACCCATCTAGGTAGCCTTTTCTCGAGTTGACACGTTTTAGGATGGTGGCTAGACTATCTTGCACCAGCTTCACAAGGGTTCACAAGTTTTACCAGGGTGAGATTTGTAAACCGGAACTAGGGAAGCAATGGTAGTACAAAATGCCCCCCCGTCGACAAACAGCGCCCACTCTAGCTTCCTAGATATTGTACGTGGTGCAATTCTACCTTCCCCCTTAGCTCAGATAATGACCAGAGGTCTGCCTGAATCGGACGGAAGTTCGTGGTACAGATGAGCGCCTTCGGACATTTTCCTAGTCCGCTAGTCCTCTTTCTGTTGATCTAACTTCTCCTAATAAGATCTGTAGACTCTTTTCATGTTTATAGAGTGCTGGTGCTTTTGCAAAAATTTGCAGGCCCCTCAAGTGGCACCGGAAATGGTCCATGGGTAAACAGCATGTCCCCGCGAAGCCGAACTGCGCCTAGGGATGTGGTAATCAGAAGCGATCTCGCACTCTTTGAGCTTTGAAAGCCCTCTAACGACAACCCACCTGTCATCATATGGCCGCTTAGGTGGAGTCAGCTGAGCCAAAGTTGCCGATCGAGCGATACGGCGAAAACTGACAATTGTTGTTGCGGTCACGATGAAGGACGAAGTATTTGACGTCACTAACGATGCGATGGCGGTACCTGCCACCGCTGACAAGTCAAGCAATGATAAACGGTCACTGATAAGAAGATCACTGTTGCGAAACCACTCTCACTGGACAAAAATCATCTGTTCATCTTATCTGATATGCTTATGAGATTTTGAGGCACGGTGTAGCTTGGCTAGGTGGGGGCATCGTGTGAGTTCTCAGACAGTCCTGCAGGGTAATGAACCGCCTTGGACGCCCACGCCCGGCAAAATGCCAGAGATATACTCGAAATCCCTGAGATCGGGTAGGCGTGGCTGCGTACTTGAGTTTAGAGTGACGGCGGCTCGGGTTTTAGGGCGATGTTTTCATTTTGGAACAGTTGTAGTCATGTCTCAATCTAAAACAGAGCAAAATGGCAGTTGTCTCAAATTGAAGTATATCACGAGTAAGCCCGTCCTATATGCTCAAAAGCCACGCCTACTCTGTTTCAGGGATAAGGAGTGTACGTATCCGCGACAATGCGTCTCAGAGCTCGTTGTCTAATTTGCAAGCTAGGTAATTTGCACATACGACCAATGCTGGAAATTTCTTCGGGACTCCGGATGTGAGAGTAACATGTTTCAGCCATTTCAGACCATCCTCAACGCTCATGTCCGGTAACTCACTGATGCCGGAGATAGGAATCCGCGGAAACGCGCCCTGGAGCTCCTTTGGTGAAAAAAATGCGCCCTCCCAAGCCAAACTGTATCAAAGTAACTAATGAATAGTAGTAGAAATGTGACTATCTGTACAACATTGAGGTGAAAAAAAAAATAAACGAGGAGTAAAGGCCGAAGAAAGAGAGTCTTCAAAATGGCGTAGTTTTGATATGAAATGCAATTATCAGAGGTTAGCCGGAAAGAGTTTGATCTGCTGAGTGGGTCGCACGCCTACTTATGGAGA